GTAACTCCCCATTTTCAACTGTAGCCATTGCAAGCAAGCAACGCATGGTGACCATTTTTGCAACAGGTGCAAAAGTGTCATGATAGTCCAATCCTTCAACCTATTTATAGCCTTTTACAACAAGTTGGGCCCTGTACCGGTCAATTGATCTATCTGCCTTTAGTTTGATTTTGTAGACCCATTTGCATACAATGGTCCACTTTGCAACGAGAAAGTCTACAAGTGTCCAAGTGCCATTTCAGTCAAGGGCATCTAATTCATCTATCATGGTAGTTTGCCGGTGTGGGTTTTGCATGGCCTGATGACAAGAAGAAGGTTCGGATGGAACCAAGGTGGTGGTCAAGGCATGGTGGGAAGAAAGAAATGATGGAATGTTACAAACAAAATCTTGGAGATGAGATGGTAGTTGGCGATTGCGGATTTGTCTATCCAAAACTATTGGCCCATTAGGTTTGTCGAAAGGGACAGGAAGAGGATTAGATGTACTAGGTATGTGACTGTGTCCGGTGGTTGGAGTGGGTGAGCCTGTGATAGTGGTCTCATTTGAAGTGTTAAGAGTTGTAGTGGGCCTAGAAGCATGACTAGGTGGTGTAGGGGATGGATAATCAATGATAATGTCAGGTTTTTCCATGGGAGTTATTGTTGAATCATCAATGGGACATTGAGATGAGAATGGAAATTCATCTTCATGAAATGCCATGTCACGGGAGGTGAAGATTTGTTGCTTTTCTATGTCAAACACGTGATAGCTCTTCTGGTCATATGGATATCCAACAAAAGTGCAACGAGCAGCACAAAACAAAAAATTTATCATGTGGTGGTGTCCGATTCAGAGCATAACAAAGACAATCAAAAACCCAAAAGTGGCTGTAATTAGAGTGGGAGTAATATTGACACGCCTTGGTGCAACATCTCGTAAGGTGACTTCCTGGACAACAAAGGAGTGGAAGGGCGACCTCCAATAAATGTTGATGTTTACGTTCAATCACACTATTTTGTTATGGTGTGTCGATGCATGACTGATAATGAACAATGTCGTGTCGAGTGAGTAACTCTTGCAAAGGCGTGGATAGAAATTCAAGGCCATTATCCGATTGGACTTAACGAACAGTTAGCTGATATTGCGTCTCAACCATGAAACAAAACATAGTAAATAAATGATAAACTTCAGATTTGCGTTTCATGAGAAAGGTGTCTTATAACCTCCCGAAATATTACAGTGCACAAATTGAAAAGGCGAAGTGATACGAGTGTGGCTGATTGGAAAAGGACTCCATGTAATGTAAGCTTTGCGAGGTGGCAAGAATCACAACAAATGCCAGAAACAGGAAGAGGAACTCCAGGAATGAGAAAAATACGGGCCTTGGAAGCGTGGCCTAAACGTCGATGCCATAAGCTGTAGCTGAGTGAATAACTAGTAGTAGCATTGTGAACAGATGCGGTAGGGGAAAAATGGAGGTAATAGAGGCCGTCTCGGAGCTCACCCATTCCAATTATGGCCCTCGAGACAGGGTCCTGTATGAGACAGTGAGTGGGAAAAAAAGAACCTGCCATTTCAACTGTTTAGTCAGTTTGCTAACAGATTACAGGTAAAACCGGATCAGGCAGGACATCATGGGGAGAAATAGTGGAAGTGAGGGCTACAGTGCCATGGTCTGAAACATTGACAGTGGTGCCATTAGGTAAATGCACAGGAAGAGGACTGTAATGGAGGAGTAAAAATTTTGTGGAAACGATGTGGTCGAAGGCACCAGTATCAAGTATCCATTCGACTGACAGAATAGGACTATTCTTACTAAAAAACACTTGATGTGATGGCATTGTTACTGTCGACCGACTCTTTGCTAAGAAGAGATATTAATTGATTTGCATTAGAAATCAACTGGTGATGGTCAGTTACAGGGGAGGTCTGACTAGAAGACGATGGCACTGTTACTGTAAATGAGGAAGCCTTGTCATTCTTATTAGACTTGGACTGTGAATGTTTGGTCCAACCAAGTGGATAGCCATGAATCTCGAAGCACTTATCCCAGGACGTTTGCAATGATCACAAAATGGCTGGTTGTGACCTAGATGTCGTGCTGTAGTGTTAGTCCGGGAAGAAATATTGAGGGCTGCAACATCAAGATTGGGCGGAGCTGTCAAAGAGATTGCAATTTGATGGTGCTCTTTTTGAAGAACTAAATCATAGATCCTGTTGAGACTTGGAAGATGATCGGTTCCAATAATGCTAGAATGGATCATGTTGAAAGAATCTCCTTGTTTCATCGCACTGCCATGATTGCAGTCAGGTAAATCGGTGACAGAGGCAAGCTCATCCCAAAGGCTTTTTAGTTGTGTGAAATACACTGCTACAGATTGGTTTCCTTGTTGAAGTAGGGCGAGATCACACTTGATTTGGTGTATACATGGAATATCGCCTTGTCCGAACCTTTCTTGGAGCTCATGCCAAATCTCGGAGGTGGATTCAGTGAAGAAATACTGTTACGAAGCTTCTTTGCTAGCGAATTAACAATCCAAGCAACCACCATTGAATTACATTTGATGCATATGCTTTCTTCTGGTGAGGTGCTTGGTGGTCTTGGCAGGGAACCATCAACAAATTGGTATTTGTTTTTTAGCTCGCAGGGCATTCTTCATCGCGTGTTGCCAAGTGATGAAGTTATCACCGGTGATAAGGCAAGAAATGAGAACCAGCCCTGGATTGTCTGAAGGACGAAGGTTAAATGGCGAATTTGTTGGATCAGAACTGATATCCATAGTGGAGTTTGCATGCATCGAACTGGAAATATATTCTTCTGGCATTGATACATTGTAGAACAGAGCAGCTGTTTGAATATAAAAAAAAAAAAAAGATTACCACATAAGAAAGAAGAAAGAGACAAGTCAGAGTTGGTGATGATCTGATACCATGTACATTGAAGAATGGGAAAAACTGATAAATTATTCTATTCTCTAGTATTTATAGATTTACAAGTGGACAACCGCCTTGGCCAAATGGGGCCACGTGGCCTAAGTTGTTACAACAGATTCTGTTTTGTTTAACAGGTAACATACCTCCGTTAGCAAAGATAATTAAATCTATATCAGGCTGAACTCTTACCGTGAGCTTTTGCTGGCTCAACTGGATTTGAATGGTGGTGTGCTTTAGCTGTCAGTGTTCTATTCATCCTTATAGTGTTTATCTTATTTGTATGATTAGAGGTTTCATGACACTTCTTCAAGCGTAAATTTTCTATTTTGAAAAATAATGCATCATGTTAGTCTTTAACAATAGAAAAATTTAGGGTCAAAAGATTCAAAACATAGGAAAAGTTTAAAGGTTTTTATACTTACCATTTTTAATTTGAGTTGAGAGGTCAAAAGATGAGGGATAGTAGAGAATGGAGGCCCGTCAAAATATTCTACATTGCGCCTATAAGTATAAGAATAACTGTTTATCTCAAATCCAATCCAAAAAAAGATTGATTTGAAGTTTTTCCTTCGTTCCTTACTCTTTCGTTCAAACCAAATATAGCGTTAATGCTCCATTTGAAAGGAATATAAATACTACAAATATGTAGAATACAAAATCTTATATTATATATATATATATATATTTGTATTTATACTCTTCGTAACTTGAGTCTAAAAAGCAAGAGTTACAAAATAAGAACCTTATTTGTCATTGGGTTAGGTTAAGATTGAACTATATTGGTTCAATCCACCCTACAAAAATATGAGCCCCAACTTAATTGGGTTTTCAACAAATCGACGAATTGGGTCAGGAATCAGGGTTGAGATCAAAGCATTAATGTCTCTTCCCCAATCCAGTACCATATTCTTAAATTAAAAAAGGTTTGTGGGTCCTTGGCCAAGGACCCCACCCAATAACTTGGCCTCACCCCTGAATCTGAGATTGCTTATTGTCCGGAAAAAAAACAAGATGGGCTGTTTTAAAGCCTCATGATACGTTATCCCACTTACTTATACTAAAAAGAATATTAATTGCAAATTTGAAATCACATATTCACCCCACACACGCATGCTAACGTGTCATGCACATGACATGCACATGCACATGAAAGCTTCAAACCGGCCTGAGCTGTTTTTTCCAAACAGCCACGCATTTCCCTTGTACTAATCAACTTCACGTTTTCTAAACCAAAAAAAAAAAACAAAAAATTTCTTAAATCCAAACTCTAATGATGCTTTGCTGGATAAGCACGCAATAAAAGACATCCGGAGAATCTTGGGATGCTCCACGTGGTAGCTTGGCTTCCCCGGAACCAATCGCGTCGGCATCATAAATGGACAATTGCTGTCGTTTTGTTTTTGAGAAGTGGGCCTGGCTAGCTGACTGATCCACCCAATCCAAGCTTACCACTGGTCTTTATGGAACCGGTTCATTGGAGAACCGGTTCTCCTCCGTCTTTAGAGCGATTAACATTTAATTAACAAAAACCCCCAAAACAAATGAAAAAAACAATTTTATCAGAGAGAGAGAGAACACAAAACCCATCTCCACAGATATTGGACGTTGGTAGATTTCTGGTGGAGATCGTCTGCACAGTACTAGTACCCATTGTAAGCGCCAATGCGCTGACTGAGAGATTCACCTGGATTGATTTCTCACAATAGAAAACGTGGAGAGAGTGGCAGAAGAAGGAGGGGTAGGTTTTCCTTTCATTTTTGTTTCTGAACAGTGCGACGGTGGCTTTGAAATCAAGCTCAAAACTTCGAGAATAATTTGATGATTTTAGCTCTGTATCGTGATTACGGCTTCTCCTACAAGAAAAGAGTCGTCGTGATTTCTGAGAGAATAGAATGCCAAAAAAAAAAAAACAAACATTGATTCAACTGCAACGATTCCATGGCGAACCCCCTTTCCTCCTCCCTGTCTTTTTTTTACACTGTTTATTTTTTTACAATTATTTTCTTTTATTTATTGGTTTACAAAAGAAAAAAAAAAGCAGGTAAATCAGTGCCAGTGGTATGGAGCTGGCAGTTGGGCTAGCGTTGCTCCTTTGTTTTTATCTGGAACCCTTGATCAACACGTTGGCAGTGATGGGGTTGCCCACATTGCAATGGTCTAGATTTTCCAAATACGCCCTCAAGAGTCCAGAATCCAGATGGCGCAGGGCAATTGCGTCGAGCACTTCGTCTGGGCGGAAGCACAGTATCTCTCCTCTGCCGAGAATACCAACTTGGGGATATCTCGCTTAGGAGTAACGAGCAGAAAACCAACAGAATAACTCTTTCCCAATAGACCCGTGATAACAAGGCCCTCGCTTTATTCCTTATACTTTCGGACTTTCCTTCATCTTTGCTTCGTAGGGTTCCAGTTCGTCAAGTCTCACACCATATAAACTTCCAGTGAAATTCAAACAGGTTTCATACTTCCCTCTGCCTGTACGATGATCCCTCCCTTTCTTTCTATTTCGTCTTATCTAGTTTTGATTGCTGCTTCAGTTTTCACCCAACGGGGTTCTCTCTAGTCCAGATTTGTCAGTAAGATTTACTTGCGTTGTCAATTTTTTTTCCTTGTTTTCAAATAAACTACTATTGAATTGTTGTAGAGTTGATGCTTTGGAAATGTGATTCATTTTGGAATTTCTTTGGTAGAAATCCTATTCATGTTCTGTTGATTTGAGTTTGCGCCTACTTGCATTCTTGGATTCATTGTTATTTTATATTTGACGTACTTACAATTGTATTTGGAATTGCTAGGTTTTGGTTTTATGATGATATCTATACTCCAGATTGAAATTTGGGAATTTAAATAAACTATTTTTGAATGATGAAAGTTGGGATGACGATTGAGTTTAATTGATTTCAGTTTTTGAATGGAGAAACGAAATGGATTCTATGGGCTTAAAAACGATTTAACTTTACTTTGTAACTCAGTTTATTGCAAGCAGTCTATCGACTGAGAAAAATAACCATACTTACTTTATGCTCATCTTCTCTTAATGTAATAGGTCTCTTTTGATATTTGCTTTGGGTAATGCCTGGTGATCCTGTTGAGCTTGGTGTCCCGGGTATGTAGCTATTGCATAAATTCTTTATTGTGCCACTCTAGTTGCTTTACTTATCAATACCAATATACCATTACCATCATTAACCTTTTGCAGAATATCATTTTTTTTAGTAAGAGGCTTGCAAATTTTATTTCTAGGTAACTTTTTTTTTTCCCAAGAAAGGCAAAGTATTGTATTTTATTGCTCTATTTTGAGGGAACTTTTGATCCATTATAAACAAGGAATTTTGTCAGAAACTTTGCAGAAAATTTCAGAATGGTGTAAAAATTTTATGTTTAATAGAAGAATTATGAGGAATAAAATCTCACAGTAGAGTTATATAAAATGCTAATATATAATATAGATATGGTTAATACTAACAAGCTAATATACTAGAGAAACAACAAAGAAAATTAGAATGACAAGATTAAGGATAAATTGATCATTGTATACATTGACATGTAAGTTCTTGATTTTTGTATATCATTTTTGTCATATTTCTCATAATATGAACTCATGGGATAATTTGGCAGAAGTATTGCAAGAATTTCCTTAATATTATGTATTTAATGGTTATTCCATTGGTAAGTTATTTTAGAAAATGGGAAATTCTACAAGGAGTGTTGGCAAATTTTAGGGATATTTTAAACCATGTTATAGTAACATTCTCATGCTTCTTTTCCAATTTTCCAATTTCATTTTTTCCTTAATTTATAATATAAGAGGTGCATATTTTTTTCCCTTTTTTGAATAATACACCAACACTTTGATTTCTCAGGTATTTTTTCTTCTGCATATTTGGAATCATAATAAGTGGTAGTCATGCAAAAGGATCTTAGTAGCAGTGCCCCACAAACGCCTACTGGACGGGTTCGACACCGTAGACGCTCAAATGAGGTTGGTGATTTCCAAGGACTGTTATCTGGATCTGATTTTCAGAATCATATAATTTTTTCTTTCTATTAGTTCATTTATTTATAGATCATAATTTAACTATGCACGTTCAATGTACAAAGTGTAAAGGATAGCTGAAGCAACAGGGTCTGTTGTCACCTGCAGTACAAAGTTTAAGGAAGCACATAATTCACTGAAACATTCAAACATGACATATTTAAAACACAAGTTTAGCACTTAAAAAAAATTAAGAAACCACAAATGAAATCTAAAATCAGTATAGTATTCCTTAGGTTCTTAGAAGGTTGAGATTGAAGGAGAGTCTCTTGTCATTCTTTTGGTGTTTAGTGGTTTTTTATAGTGCATGGTCCTTGTGTGACCACACCAAAGGGTTAGGGCCTTAGCATCTAGAAGAAACAGATTGTTCCGATGAAATTCCAAAGTAGGCTAATTATTTGGCTGATACTGTTTCCAAGAGTAAGTTATGAGGAATAACATGGATTGGTGTTCAATGATTCTTTATTGTTTTATCCTTTGTCTTTTGCCTCTAAGTACCTTATTGTGGCTCAGTCCTTTTCTTTTTTGTAAATTTGCTACAGTTTTCTTTTTATGATCCCATTTCCCCAAATAGAGTTGTATTATAGTTGTTGAAAAGAAAACCTAAGGTAAAAGAAGAATGGTATCTAAAATGGCTTATTAGCACAGTTAGTCTATTAAATGAATGAGCATCTGAGGAGCCTTTTCTGTTTGTTTTGTTAGCACCTGTTGCTGCCTCACTAAAAGAGAATTAGAGGGGAAATGGGCAATGGTGGAACAATAGTGCAACTTACTTTGGTGCTTGCTGCCATCCTCAAAAAGGAAAAAAAGGATAAGCAGAAGAGAATACAAGGAAGATGAGGAATAAAAAACTAAAGAAGATTGATCCAAATAAATGAAAAACTGAAGAAGAACGAGAGCTAAAAAACATATTGCACTAGTTTTTTCCCTCTCTTTCCAATAATTCCTCTGGAGCTTGGGAAAAGAATAATTTGGATGTGCATATACACAGTAAAGTGTATATGAACTAATCTGGCATCTTAAAAATATAAAACAGACTTAATAAGCTAGTTCACTGTAAAACAGGAATATGCTAGTATTCTTTCCCCTCTCCCAACACTTATTGTGAAACTCCAAAAAATATTTTGCAGGCACATATAGGTAACTAAGCATAGTTTGATACCTGGTCTGACATTATGCAAATATAATTTTTTTTATCAGTAACAAGAAACTTTATTAATGATATTAAACTATGTGAAACTTAAGGTACAAAAGGGGAGGTAAAATGTCTTAACTCCCCACCAACAGAATACAATTGAAGAAAGTCAAAAGTTAGTCCAAAAGATAGATTCCCTATTCATCCCTTGCTTGGCTAACCCATCAGCAGATGAATTATCAGTCCTCTTTACCCAGCTGTAATGCAACACAATATTCCTACTCAGCCATTTGAATTTTTTTCCTTCTCATTGTTATAACTCCACAAACCGCTGTCTTCTTCCTTTAGCCACGTAATCACCACCTCCGAGTCACCTTCAAGGACCAAACATCTGATGTTCAACTCCCTTGCTCTTTGGATACTTTCCTGGGCTGCAAGAATCTCAGCCCTAAGAGAATCTCCTTCTCCAATTGGGCCTGAGAACATAGCAATGATAGCCCCATCCTCATTCCTGAACACTCCCCCAATCCCAGAAGGCCCCGTGTTCCTTAAGCAGCTACCATCAAAATTCAGTTTTATGAACCCAGAGGGAGGAGGGGACCAAGAAGGACTACAAGTCCTCTTACATAGGGCAGAGGAAGCTATCTCTTTCCAATTTCTTACCAAATCAGCCACAGAATAGTCTGAGAACAGCTACCATCAAAATTCATTAAAATTATGCTGAAAGAATGACAAAACAAGCACATCATAAAAAATATCCACTTTTGTACAAAACAAAGACATCAAACTTAGGTTTACATGTTGCATTTTAGTACAGAAGTGCATCAAGGTGTAAAAAGTGTACACTTCACTTGACAGGAGCACAGGTCATGTTGAATTAGCAACATATCAGACAAACTAGAACTATTGAGTAGAATGGGTAGTTTAATCTCTTGACTGTCCCAAGAGAAATAAATATCTCTTATTAGTGATTATGAAATTACATCAGCACCTTTCTGAGTACAGCACATAAAGAATTAAAATAACTATAATACTATACATTCACTGTACATCAATAAGATACACTGTAATACTTAATCTTCTATTTTTGTACTAACTGCATTGCACCTCAATCTTGGTGAAGTGCTATAAGTGTGTTCTGATTCACTATAACTATAATACTATATATTTACTGTACATTAATAAGGTACACTGTAATACTTTTTTTTGATAATTGAAAGAAATTTATTAATCAGCAATGATAAATAGTACAATGTCCCCAAGGAGAGGCACGAGATGCAACCTCTCCAAGCTAGTTAAGTACAACTTTCCAATATACTAGAACAAGTTACAATGTAGCACAAAAAGGATCCTCCCTGGAAACCCCCTGTTTGGCCAAAGAATCAGCCATAGTATTGGCTGACCTGCTTACCCATTTTACTTCAACTCTCATATTACTGATTAACCACTTTACTTTTTTGATGAGGTTTTTGTAGCCCCAAATGGTAGCATCCGGGTTTAGAAGCCACCTTGTTACCACCTGAGAGTCCCCCTTCAACTAGGAGATATTCCACCCCAAGCTGGGTAGCGATCTGAATTCCTTGTACAGCAGCTAGTATTTCTGCCCTTGTAGAGTCCCCCACTCCCACTGGTCCTGAGAATAAGGAGATGATGTTGCTATCTTTATTCCTCAAGGCACCCCCTATACCTAAAGGCCCAGGGTTACTTTGGCTTCTCCCATCAAAATTTAACTTGATGACACCTTCTGGAGGCGGATCCCATTCTAAACTTCATCCAAGCTTCTTTCCTTCTCTAAGAAGACTCTTGCATTCCTTTCCTCCCAGAGAGTCCATAAGGTGGCTGCCCTGATACATTTCCACGTGAACTTGCCTCTTCTAGTGTGCCATACAAAAATAGATGGGTTAAATAACAAACTCACATCAGATGGCGGAGACCACCTACCTCCAAATAAACTATGGCTCCAACTCCATAAGGCTGTAGCAAAGGAGCAGGAGATCAGCAAATGGAAAAAGTCCTCAGTCCTCATTCTGGGCCTTACACAAGGAACACCAGTTGGGGGAAAGACAAAGAAAGGGTCTCTTTTTCTGCAAGTTTTCCAAAGTATTGATTTTCCCATAGTAGACTTACCAGCAGAATACAACAATTTTCCAAAGGGTCTCTTTGTCTGCTTTTGTAATAAAATGGTAAAATAAATTTTCCTTTGCCATTTGCAAGAGGCTCTTGGACAGAAGTTTTAAGAAATGAAGAATAAACATGGTATAATTTAGTATGAAGTCACATCTATAAGTAGGACTGTAGGAATCCATGCCTTTTTCTTTGTAGAAAAACCCTTACATGGACCCTCTGGTGTGTGTGTTGGGGGGGGGATAAAAGATCTAATGGATATGCTGCTTCTTGAAATTATAAAGGTCCGCATTGAAAGAGCTGGGAGCTTAATAGTTGTTCTTTAATGCCAGGTTCCTCCTGAGGCAACCAAGCCAAATGGAAGTCATTTACTCATTGATGACCGAAACAAATACAAGTCCATGTTGATTCGTGCATATTCATCTGTTTGGATGATTGGGGGATTTGCATTTATTATCTATATGGGTCATCTCTATATCTGGGCCATGGTTGTGGTTATCCAAATTTTTATGGCAAGGGAGTTGTTCAACCTACTCAGACGAGCTCATGAAGATAGGCATCTCCCAGGATTCAGGCTTTTAAACTGGTAAGGAGTTGTCTTTTTTGGCATCATGTAGTCTGCCATTCCTTAATGTTCTATTGAAAGCCCTAGACAGTGCTTCACTACTGAAACCAAAATCTTTTGTTTGATAATACCATTTTGATATATTTAACTTTCATCTATTACATTCTTCTTCTATTCATAATTCATATTTGTCCTCAGGCATTTTTTCTTCACAGCAGTGCTGTTTGTTTATGGCCGCATACTCAGCCAGCAGCTTGTCAACACTGTAACTTCAGATAAATTTTTGTATCAGCTTGTCAGTGGCCTTATCAAATATCAGATGGTTATTTGTTATTTCTTATACATTGCAGGTTTGTTACATTTTACTATGATATACTCATATATAAGCACCGGAATCTAGATTGTAGGCATTCCTTCTTATTTCGTTGCACTTCAGATTTGGAAAAAAAATCATTGTAGCATCATGTTTATTGTTCTGATCATGTTTTTATGACCTTTTAGGAATCAGAACTTATTTTTGTTTGTGTTTTAATCCTTCTTCTGTTTGTGTTATTCTGTGCTGTTCTTTTGCAATTTAGATGATAATAGCACCCCCGCGTTTACATTTCATTAGCACTATATGTTCACTAAAGTTATGGTTATTTATCTATGTTGAGTTCAGGTTTTATGTGGTTTATTCTTACTTTAAAGAAGAAGATGTACAAGTATCAATTTGGGCAGTATGCATGGACACATATGATTCTAATTGTGGTGTTTACACAGTCTTCCTTCACTGTAGCAAATATTTTTGAAGGAATTTTCTGGTAAGATGACTTCAATGATGGTATCTTGTGATAATTATAAGAAATATTTTACTTGGTGATGTTTGTGAAAATTTTCTCATGAACCTTCAAAATTTCAAATTTCATATTAATAAACGCCATTTTTATGAGTAGTCATTGTAGCATCACATTAGCTGTAAGCTGTCACACTTTGCATCTTATTAATTTGTCGTAAGGGGCTTACTTGTTCCTTGACCCTTTCACTTTACACTTGTTTGTGTAGCCATGTTGATATGGTATAATATATTGCTATTAAACAACTAAACAGAACAATATACAGCTTAATATGAATTGTTTATAATTCCTGTCAGATCATGAATTGCAATAGAATTTATATGATTGTCGGTATAATATAATGCAATGTACTCATATGGGTTATTTTATATATTAATATTACACAATATTACATCCCTATAGTGCATCACTATCACACATTTCACAGCAATGAGAAATAGTGATGCATTATATGATTTACAAATGAGTAACCTGTACATTTTTGTCCTGCTGTTAGTTCTTGTCATTCCATGAATTACAATAGGGTTCATATTAAACTCTATATTGTGCTTTTTTGTGTTTGAGAAATTGAATTTGAGCCCTATGTGCATGTAGTGAAAATAAAGTGTGAAAACTTTAAAGGAACATATAAGAATTTTTCTCTATACCGAGGAATTTAACCATGGTTTTTTCTGTTATGATTGATAATTTTTTATAGAAGAGAGACCTTCATGTGGTATTCATTGATATGGAAGCATATGATAAGAGTCCCTTGGGAGATAATATGGTGGTTTTAGGAAACAAAGGAGTGCCAAATAGGTACTTGGGCATAATTAAGGACATGAATGTTGGACATAGTTAAGGGCCTGTTTGGTTCATGGGAATAGGGGTTTGGAAATTCCAATGGCTTGGTTGGGCGGAATTGGAATACCATTCCCATTCCTGGTGGAATGGCATTCCCCCATTTTAGGGAATGGCCATTCCTTCCCCCTTCCTTGGGAATGAAATCCCATTCCAGCTGATTCCAATTTCCATTCCTGTTCCTGTCTGAACCAAACAGACCATGGGAATAGACCATTCTGATTCTGACTATGAACCAAATGGATCCTTAGTGTTGATTGATGAAACTAAAAAAAAGGATCAAATGCAAAAAATTATGACCAAGAAGAGATGCTCTAGAATCAAAAGGTTTTTAAATAAGTACAACAAAATCAGAATACGCTATGAAAATTTAGCAATAACAGGATGAGAATTAGGGTACAATCAGGATTATAGTGATGGTATGGGGGGTCCTACAACTTTCAAATTGGTAGTGGAGTTAATTTGGGTGATTAATGATGAAGAATAGAGATGAAAAAGCAAGGAGACAGCTTGCTATCCATGAATGAATGAGAATGACATTAGATTCCACAAAGGATGCACTGTTATTCCAACTAGGAAGCTGCCTAGAATTGACTCCTAATCAGTGTTGACTTAGACCAACTTAGACAGTTGAACTGGTGACCCAGTGAGCTTTTATGGGTCCTGGTTATTTGACGGTTCGTTTGGGCTGAACAATCTGACCCGCTGGTTAACTGATTTTTTGGAAAGGTGAAAAATGATTTTTTTTATCAGTGAATTGTAAGATTTATTAATTCATAGCCAAAGATAGTACATTTTAGGGAGAGGCACGAGATGCTACCTCCCCTGGAGGGGAGATGGAGGAAACCATCAACCCTTTAGTTAATAAACATAACAAAGGACAAAGAAAAGCCCAATACAAGGAGACCTGAGTAGCCCCTTGTTTAGCAAGATAATCAGCCAAGGCATTAGCCGATCTACCCAACCACTGAAATCTAACTGTTGTGTCCCTCAATAGCCATTTGACCTTTTTTAAGATATCCTTAAACTCCCAAGTGACAGTACCCGGGTCAGCCAACCATCCTACTACCACCTTGGAATCTCCTTCAATTATTAAGTTCTGCACTCCAAGTTGATAAGCAATCTGTATCCCCTGTGCCGCAGCTAGGAGTTCAGCCCTCACAGAGTCTCCTCCTATTCCCACCAGTCCCGAAAAAAGGACAATGATGTTGCTGTTCTCATTTCTTAGTACACCACCAATCCCAGACGGTCCTGCGTTACCCTGACTACTTCTGTCAAAGTTCAGCTTAACAAAACCCTCCATCGGTGGAGTCCAAGTTACTTGAACTCTAGGCTTCCTGGAGGAAGTGAGGGCAACTGCAGACCAATTCCTCATTAAATCATCAAAGGAGTAATTATCAAAGAGCTTTAAGGATTTCAGCCACAAAATAGTCCTTGTAAGAATACACTACTTGATCTCAAGAATGCTTCTTTCTTCTCCTGAAAAATTCTGGAATTTCTTTCTTCCCAAATAGTTCAAAGGAGAGCTGCTCTTATACACTTCAACATAATTCTCCCTCTTCTTGTGGTCCACACAAAGGTAGATGGGGAAAATAACAAATTTACCTCAGCTAGCAAGTTCCACCTGCACTCAAACAAATCAAAAACCCAGTTCCAAATAGCTGCAACAAAAGGACAAGAAATCAATAAGTGGTAACTGCCCTCAATCTGCGCTTCGCACAAAATACACTAGTTAGGGGATAAACACAAGAAATGTCTTTTCTTCTGCAGGTTATTCATTGTATTGATTTTACCGTAGTAAACTTCCCAACAAAACACAACTATTTTTGGGGGAATAGGCCTAGACCAAGCTTCCTTAACTAGGAAAGCCCAAGGAGAGGAACTAGAGCAAAGGGATTTAAGGAAAGATGCACAAGTAAACGACCCTTTTGGAGTCAAAGTCCAAATCCTCCCATCAAATTTGAGTGGGTCCAAACAAACAGAATCAAGTAACAATAAGAGCTCAGAAGCTGATAAGGATTCCTCATCCCTCAACCCTCTATGGAAGCCAAGGTCCCAATTTGGAGAAAAGGGGTATACAGGGACAAAAGAAAGGAAGACACATGTTCTTTTTTATAAAGGGAAATGGAGAAGAGAGGGGAACAAATCCTTAAGAGGTAAATTTCCCACCCAAGTGTCTTCCTAGAAAAGAACATGAGTCCCAGAGCAAGCATCATACCTTACAAAGTGGAGGAACTGGGGGAGGATGCCATGAATTGCCTTCCAAGGTGTTGCAAGAGTTGCCTGCCTAGATACCCCTACATCCCAACCATTTCTGGAACAGCCATGGATACTCGCTACCATTGCACGCCATAAGCTCTCCCTCTCTAAAGTCCATCTCCACAACCACTTACCTAGAAGAGCTACATTCTTACAAGCAAGATTCCCTAATCCTAATCCTCCTTCCTCCTTACTTTGACTAACTATCTCCCACCTAATCAAATGATCCTTATTTTCTTGCCCCGACTCCCACAAGAAATCCCTCATCATCTTCTCTATCTTCTTAGCTTCCCTGATAGGAATCTTAAAGATAGACAAAAAGTAAACCGGCAAATTAACAAGTGTGGATTTGATCAAAGTCACACTACCCCCCACAGAGTTATAATTCTTTTTCCAGCTTGCCAACTTCTTTCCAAAGTTTTCCACAACGGGGTTCCAAAAGCGGCTCTCCTTTGGGTTAGCTCCTAGGGGAAGACCTAGATAAGTTAAGGGCTAGGACGAGGTGGAGCACTCTAAGCAATTTGCAATAGATTAAGTTCTTAAGGTTCCTAACATTCCTCAAATCACTACCTTCACAAAAGATTATAGTATCATCTACAAACTGAAGGTGAGTAATGAGAACACTATTTCTTCCTATTCTCCAACCACTCACTATCCTCTCCCTATCTGCTTTTGATATCAATCTACTTAACACATCAGCAACAAGAGTGAAGTGAATAGAAAGGGGGAGAGTGAATCACCTTGTCTTAGGCCCTTACATGCTGGGAAGAAGTCCTTAACTACTCCATTGACAATGATGGAATAATGGCAAGAAGTGAGACAACCTTTAATCCACTTGCACCATCTTTCCCCAAACCCTCACTTACTTAGCACCTCTAAGAGGAAACTTTAGTCCACCAAATCGTAGGCTTTTTCAAGATCCAATTTGCAGACAAAGCCTTTTTTACCTGATCTCTTCATCTCCACACATTCATTAGCTATCAAAATCTGATCTACTATTTGTCTGCCTTGTACAAAAGCACCTTGAGCTTGACTAATTAGAGAGGGGAGTACCACTTTGATCCTCAAGGATAAGACCTTCGCCAAAATTTTGTAAACACTAGTCACCAAGCTAATTGGTCTGAAATCCTTAGGATGCTTAGCGACAAACTTCTTGGGAACAAGGGCTACAAAAGTAGCATCAACTCCAGGGCTAGCAACGACATTATCCTCAAACTCCTTGAAGACCTCAAATAAATCATTTTTAACTATGTCCCAACAATCTTGATAAAAGGCCATCGTAAATCCATCTGGTCCTAGGAGCCTTAAATCTATCCATTAAGAAAACTGCTTGTCTGATCTCCTCCTCATCAAAGTTTCTTTCCAACCATCCCCTCTCCCTCTCAAAAAGACTTAACTAATCTAGACCATTCATTTCCACCCTGCAATCAAGAGGTCTTCTCAAAATTGACTTGAAATGATCTACAAAGCATCTGGCTATCTCTTCTTGAGAGGAGATTTTCTCTCCATCAATCTCAAGTTGTGCTACAAAGTTTTTCCGCCTCCTCCCATTGGCCATCGCATGAAAAAATTTTGTGTTCCCATCTCCTTCCTTGATCCATTTAACCCTTGATTTTTGCCTCCATGATATCTCTTCTCGCAACAAGACCTCTTCTAATTCCTTTTATAATCTCCATCTCAAGAACTTGTGCATTCATAGTCCTTTGGGATTCCTTCTTATCCAATTTTTCAATCTGAGTCAACAAGGAAGATTTTAAATCTTCTATTCTCCCAAAATGGTCCTTGTTCCAGGCTTTTAATTTTGTCCTCAAATTTCTTAGTTTTTTATGAAATCTAACTCCTTTCCACTTCACCCCTCTTAGCTCTTCACTCCACCAACTCTCAACGTTTTTTATAAAGTCTGGGTGAGACAACCACATATTCTCAAATCTGAAGGGTCTAGGTCCAGAATCTAAGGGTTCCTCTCCTAACTGCATAGGGCAATGATTCGGAGTAACTCTAGGTAACTCTTTAGCCATCAAGCCCCTCCCATGATTCTCCCAGGCTTCATTGAACAAGAATCTATCTAACTTCGAACAAGTTGGATTTTCCTGAAAGTTGGACCAGGTAAAATTGGCTTGCAAAAGAGGAATCTCCTTCAGCTCACAAGAGTTGGTAAATTCATTGAATTTCCTCATATTAGTCGTGATTGATTGATGGGGGTTATTCGACTCAGTTGTGAACCGAATTACATTAAAATCTCCACCTAAGCACCAAGGACCTTCCCATAAACCTTGAATACCACACAACTCCTCCCACAATTCATTCCTCTCTCTGTAATTATTGGGCCCATACACATTGGTTAGAAACCAAGTAAAATCACCCTCCACCATTTTGAATTTCAGAGACACAGAGAAGTTACCTACTAATTCTTCAATTGCTTCTACAACATCTTCTTTCCACAAGGTGATTATACCCCCTGAAGCTCCCCAAGAGGGAGTTGAAACCCAACTAATCCCTCTTGTCTTCCGAACACTTCTAGTCCATCTTCTGTCCATCCCTTCTAATTTAGTCTCTTGTAGCATTACAATGTCAGGCCTTTCTCTTCAAAGCATCTCCTTTATTAGTCTTCTCTTCCTTGCACTTTCTAAACCCCTCAATTTCAGCTTATGATTTTCATTAGGAAAGAGTAGAACCCACCCACCCACCCTTACTTAGGGCCCTTCCTTATTTCCCCTTGACCACTGAATTCAATATCACCTTCAATAACTGAGATTAGTCTCTCCACCTTTGATCTTTTCCTTTTTTTTCCTATTTTTATCTACCCTAGCACTTCTAAGACACTCTCTATTTTCCTTCTTCTGTTCCAATTTTGTAGGGGTAACCTCCATTTGCTCTTCTTCCTCTTTATAATCCTCCAAGAGAGCACAAATACACTCCCAAATTCTCTCTAATTCTTCTTCCTTTTTCCTTTTCAATAAAAACTCCCCCTCCTCTTCTCCACCACCCTTAACCGCAGTCCCACTTTCCCTTCCCTTGGCCATTCCTTCTGGTTGAGAAGCCGAAGTACCTGTTTCAGGCATAGGACCCTTGTTAGTACCAGAAAACAAATCCACAGATGTACCTGAAGCAAAGGGAACCGGAAGAGTGGGAACAGGAGCAAAAGGTGCTGGCGGGGGCATCGAATCTAGGCCTGGTCTCCCTGACTGATTGATCTTTGGAAGTTGTCTAGGTTCAATCAAATCTGTGTTAACAAATGCAGCCGAAGCTACCATTAAAGGTTGCCCCCTAATCGGTGACTCTGCGTGGAACAACAGTAATGAGTTCTGACCCTCTAAATAGATATCCTGAGCGTGTTGCAGTCCAAGGGTGGGTTTGTTTGTTGGAGTAGATGAAAAATGATTTGCATTACCATGGAACAGACATCCAATAAAATTGGAATGATATATGTGCACTTCTATACACGATAGACAAAAAAACCCTGAACTGATTGGTTGAGGTGCCATCAGAAAAATGCAAGGCAACCGTCCACTTCTGAAGCTACCACTTGATCTTGCTGATTAAGGTCTCACAGGGGCAAGAGTGAGACTTGCCTTAACAAGATGTGGGAGTTTCTTGTTTTTCAGATAGCCCAGCATATGGCTACAGACAAGGGAACTAAGTTTAAAGAATTTCACCTCTTGTCTACCACCCTTAACCCTCCAGGATGAAACACATAGATGTCCATGGGATAACCCAGAGAAAGCCAAATGTATTCCAGAAGTGAATCCTCACTTGGCCAACATAAGAACGGTGGGAGCACTAAATGCCTGGTTGTCTTCTCCTGATCCAAGCAAAAATAGCAACTACTTTGCAGCGCCATACCATGCAAAATGAGCTTGTTGATGCTGGGGATCCTATTCAGAATTGCCGTCCACAAAAAGAAGGTTATCTTAGAAGGAGCATGGGCCTTCCAGATCCATCTCCATTGAACCGAATTAGATTGTCTGTTGGTCAGCAGATAGTAGCAAGATTTTGTTGAAAGCACACTGGAGTTGCACACCACCCTAGTGCAGGAATCATTAACTTCAGGTTGGATGTGAGAACCATGGAGTCACTTCAACAGAGATGATAAAGCTTCAATTTACCAGTCATTCCAGTCACTTAGATTGTGTCTGAATCATGGCACCTACACCACCTGTGACCCCACTAGCTCGTAACAGTCCCTTACGGACATCTTATTTATGCAGTCCCAAAGAGGCCTGGAAAGGTTTCACAAAATCTGATGCCATCACCACTACCAGGATTCAGATGAACAAAACTTCTAAACCTGATGGTTTAACTGTTGAAACTATGACAGTGAACTTTCCTGTTTTTTGTACGGTCAAAATCTAATAGCACTGCTCCTAATTGCATTAGAGCTAATGTAAACCCGTTCATAGTCTATAGGGTCACTCAAATATGGACTTCAACTCCTAGAACAACTCTAATAAACCAGTGCTAATCATATCAAAACCAAACAAACGAATGACAACTCTAAAATAGACCCAAGATTAGAAACTTCATGACCCCATTAAAGATTTATACCCTATAACCAAAATGGTCATAACTTTCTCAGAAAACACCAGAAGATCTTGAACTTGTTGGAGAGGTAATTAAAAGAATTTATCTAATGACACCAAAATTATGTGAAACAGATTATTTTGAACCTTTAAACTTGGATTGCAAGAAAAGTGATGTTATTACAACCACAAATTTTGAAAATTCTAACACTATGACTATCTTATAGGATTCTTTAAACTAAGCAGAAAATTAGTTAAAAAACTCAATTTACCCAAAACTATGAAATTGCCATTAGTGTGGGAATTTCACTAGTTTCCTTCTTGGAGCTACTTGTTGGTAGTGCTTCTTTGGGGAATGATTGAAGTCCCTGTCTTGGCTTATTTTCATTGTGATAGACATCTTATTGGCTTCATTGCTTTATTTATTGTTGCTACATTTTCCATAGGGGGTTTCTGCAAAGGATAATACTTGTTAAGCCAAGATGATGCCACCATGTCATGGAGACAAGGAAAAACCTTGATCTAACATTTTCTATTACCTTTATTTGATTATTTACAATGAGGAGATATTGAGGAGGTTACCCGTAGAATTAGAGTGGCATAGAAAAAATGGAGACAGTGTATCCATAGTGTGTGTGCTGGGAGAACACCAATCAGTCAAAATGGAAAATTTTATAAGACAGCTATAAAGGCAATAATTTTGCATGGAGTATTGGGTAGTCAAGAAGCAATGTGTTAGTGTGGTGGAAATGCAAATATTAAGATGGATGAGTGGTGAAACCACAAGGATAGATAGAAATTAGCATATTTATGGGAACCAAAGAGGCAAAGTAGGCTAAGATGGTTTGGGCATATGCATAGAAGACCACATACTAAGAACTAAGAAGTGATCTATTGCCATTTGAAAAGTATAGAAGAGCTAGGAGTAGGCCAAAAAGAAAATAGGTTAAGGTAGTGCAAATGATTTCAGAGCTCATAATTTAACAATAGACATGACACAATGGAATGGCGGAACAGGATTTTCGTAGCTGACTCCATATGATTGGGGTAAGGCTTTGTTGAATTTATTTGATGACTTGAAGGAATATCAACTATAATTTTCTCCTTGCTTCATCTTTGGGATTTGGAATGGCATTATATATGTACCTGACTTCTTTATGGTTCCCCATTATCGATTGAATTTGTATTTCATTGTAGGTCTATTATTAGTTGTCCTCCACCATTTTAATTGATTATTACATTTACATAACAAATAAATTCCTCTATTACCTTTTATTTCAAAAATATCTTTTCTGATAAGGTATAGATATTATGCAGGTTTCTTCTTCCAGCATCCCTTATTGTTATCAATGATATTGCTGCTTACTTCTTTGGATTTTTCTTTGGGAAAACACCTTTAATCAAGTTATCACCAAAGAAAACTTGGGAGGGTTTCATTGGAGCATCTGTTACAACTATGATCTCTGCATTTGTGGTGGGTATCATCTTTCCTTGTTGTTAGTAATCTTTTAGGTAGTCCTAATATGAAGTCTACCTTGTCAATTTCATATGTGATTGGATATGAAACTTGTTGTATGCATACATGTGAAAGTTACATTTTCTTTTATTTGCAACATTGATGAGAAGAAATTTATGCAAGGATATCCTAAGAAGGTCAGTGCTCAAATACAAACCTAGCTACCTAGGGTCTTGGGAGGGGTGGATTTGATAAAGGCCTAACCTCTGACTTGGTAATTAGTCAGCATTTTATTGATGTGAGATTAATAAAATATTTACAATACAAAGGGTACAAGCAGTACCCCAACCACCCACTACTACATACACCTTTGTCCCCTGCCTAACCCATCAGTTGATCTGTCTCTGCATTACATTATTCACCTGCTGCTTCTGTATTTCCCCAGAAAAATTTAGCTCTACTAATCCCTTGTCTTGCTAGATTGTTGGCCATCCCATTTTCTGATCTATACACCCACTCGAGTGTTGTTTTTAGGCTCAGCTCCCTTGCTATATTTCTTGCTTCTCTTTTTAACTGTTTGTCTCCATGGACCTAGACTTTCTGTTTCAACCAGCCTATAATTGTGTTTGAGTTGCCTTCAACTATAAAGACTTTATATTCCAATGAGCTCCCAACTTTAAACCTTGGCTTCCTACCAAGCGCAGCCTTTGTTGAATTCCCTTGGCCTATTGGTCCTGAGAAAATAGATTTAACTTCTCTATCATCATTTCTAAATAATCCTCCAGACTAGAAACTCCAGAGTTACCCAAACTACACCCATCAAAGTTTAATTTTAAGAAGTTTCTTTGGTGGAATCCAACTTACTGGGTTTTGATTATAGCTGAAGATAAAGACCTAACCTCTGACATTTTAAGCACAAAGAGTGGAAACATGGCTCAGCCACTTTGCGCTAAACATGCCAGAGGTTAGATCTGTCAAATCCCATTCAAGCGTCAACTCTATCTCCTTTAACTACTCATGGATATTTCTTTCACCCAGTTAGTAATGAAAAACTCAGTGTTGTTGGAGGCCTCCAATGGTCCACCCTAGTCAACTCCAAACCATGCAGCCCTTGCAGTGTTGCACTTCCAGAACAGTTGTTCAGGGGTCTTCTACTTACTACAATACCACGTCTATATGGACATTCTCTTTCCTCACATCCTCGGAGATTTTACTTCTTGTTCATACTCTGTGATTCATCAACTTCCACAGGAGTGGTTAGATCCTCAGATAGAGCTGTGTTTTCCAGTGCTTTTTTTTCCAGTTCATTTCTCCCATGTTATTAGTGTGCTTTGCTTCCCTTTATGCCCTGATAAGGAGATTAGCGCCATGGTAGGAAGATTTTCTTTGATACGGATTAAAAAAGAATTTATTAATGAATATTACTATGCATGAAGATACACAGAAGTCTCAAAATCAAATAAATCATATAGGGCACTGCCTCTTGGCCCTAAACAAAGGACCACTTATAAACAAAATGATGTAAGAGAAAGTCCCAGAACATTTATTAGTAGTGAACTGATTAAGTGGGAAATTGTGTGTAGAAGCAAAAAGGAAGGGGGTTTGGGGTTAGGGAGGGTGGTTCAAAAAAACAAAAAAAGGATCAAGCATTGTTGGGGAAATGGCTTTGGCGTTGGCCGTTGGAGAGAGAAAGGCTTTGGCATGAAGTGGTGGGGAGTATTCATGGCATCTCAGAGGGTGGATGGGACGCAGGTGCATTAAGGCGGGCTAATCTGGCAGCATCGTGGAAGGCCAACCACAAAATCATCCTTCAGTTTCTCAGGTTTGTCAGGTATGAAGCTTGTTCTGGTATTTCTGTCCGGTTTTGGGAAGATATCTAGGTGGGAAATACCCCTTTAAAGGACCTTGTTCCTTTGCTGTCCTCTATCTCATCTTTTAAAAAAGGGGCAATTTCAAAATTTGTTTCACCCTCAGGAACGCCCGTGGTGATCCAAATTGGGATTTTGGTTTTTGTAGGGGGTTAAGGGATGCTGAAATTGATTCTTTATCTCATTTGCTTGGCCTCCTTAATCAGATTTGTCTGGATCCTTCCAAGCCAGACAAAAGGGTGTGGGTAGGGGTGTAAATGGAGTTAGTTCGAATCAAATCAGGCTTGTTTCGAATTTGAAACTGATTAAATAAATAAATACTCAAATTCGATTCGATATCTGACGCTTTCTGAAAGCATTACACTGATTTTGAATTTGTCTAAGTAATTGAATATTCGATTTCGACTCGAATTTGAAAAAAAAAAAATTAATGTCAATCTCTCCAACAACTTCACCAGACGAAGAAGAAGAAACCTGGTTTTCTTTTCTCATTTTCTATTGATCCAACCTTCAAGAAACAAAAAAAAAAGAAATTAAAAAAAAGTTTTTGAACAATAACCATCTATTTGGTATTGCTATGTTGGCGTGTTCTGCAACAAGTATTAGAGAGATCGCTACTGGTGTGATCTGCAACGGAGAGATTGTCAGTCTCCATATTCAGCTCTGCAACATGCCTAGAGAGAGAGATTGAAAAATATAGAATAAAAAAGGTTTAAGCTTGTAAAGCTATAACAAACAAAAAGAGCGAACAAGAAATGCAGACTTCAACCGAAGAACGGAAAATGAATGCTTGAACTGAAGAAGAAGAAAGTGAATAGTAAAAGTGATATGATTCAAATACAAAAAGTATGAGATAATTAATGAGACAAGTGCCATTTGATAAAAAAGTATTAAAATAATGTTAAAAAAGTGGGAGATAATTAATGACACATGCCTCCAATTCGAGAAATCATCATGGCCTCTGCAATAGCATGTCTTCAATCAATTCTTTTATTATTAAAATAATATTAAAAGTTTTTGAAAGCCATCATTCGTTGTTCTTTAATAAAAATAATATATTAATATATTATTCAATATGAATATATTACAGTCATGACTCATGACCCAATATAATTTATATAGTTACAATATATATAATCGAATCGAATTGAGTGATATTCAAATTTGATTTGATTATGTCGAATCTCAAATTCGAACTCGGATTTTCAAATACCATTTACACCCCTTGTGTCTCATTCTTTAAGTCCTTGTCTTAGTCTTACACTCAATAGGTCTTTCCCTCAAAGGAAATTTGGTTCAGGCTGATTCCCCCAAAGGTTATGGCTTTCTGCTGAGAAGTGTACTATGGGAAGGTAAACACTTTAGATAACCTACAAAAGAGAAGACCCTTCGTATTTCTCCCAACTGGCATACCCTCTGTAGAGCTCATGGGGAGGACTGTTACCATCTATTCATTTCCTGTCCACTCTCTACAGAGTTGTGGGTTTGGCTACTCTCTTTGTTTGGGTGTAATTGGAGCTTGCCAGCAGAAGTACGGTTTATCTTTGACCAGTCTATCTTCAACCGGCATACAAAAAGAGGAAGATCAATGTGGAGATGTGCTAGAGCAGCCTTGATTTGGACGCTATGGGAAGAAAGGAATGATAGAATCTTTCAAGAGAAGGAAAGAAATAGACTTTGGACCTGTTCCATCAGTTCTCCTTTAATGACTTTTGGAGAAACTGGTTGGCAATAGTAAGGTGGTCTTCCATCAAGAACAGGGTAGTCCCAAGGTGATTTCCTCCGGTTGAAGGCTCACTGAAGTTGAACTTCGATGGTAGCAGTTTGGGCAATCCGGGGCCATCTGGAATTGGGGGGGGGGGAGTCTGAGGAACGAGCTTGCAGAGGTTGTTCTATTGTACTCGGTTCCTTTGGGACTTGGTGACTCTGTTAGGGCAGAAATGCTAGCTGCTGTACAAGGGTCAGCAAATGCTTTGGCTGGTGTGTTAGCCAAGCAAGGGGCAAATAGGGAAGAATTGCTTTAGGCTCAGATGTGATTCCAATACGCTTTTCCTAGTTTCTTTGCTTTATTGTCAGGAGAGGCTGCAGCTCGTGCCTCTCCAAGGGATCTTGTATGAGATTGTAATCCTGAATCAGTTTCTGTTTTAATAAAATTCCACTATTATTCATAAAAAAACTGATTTCAGAAGGGGTCAGAGGGGGAGGGGAACAAGAATATTTCAAATTTGAAATAGAAGGGGGAGGAGGAGACATATTTAAGAATAAGAGAAAAAACAGTTTAGAAGGAGAGAGAGAAGTAAAAAGAACATACTCCCACCTGCAACTGAACCTCAAAACAAACTTTTATTCTATTTGGTCTTTGCAAAGAAATAATAGTCTTGCATCATATAAAAAGAGCTAGGGTTTGCCTGCCCTTTGCAAGTTTCTAAAATACCAGAAATCTCATGTAGATTGAAAGTAATTCAAATCTCATAACATTAACACCTTGCCAACCCCAAATCTTTCAGTGAGCATAATGAAGGAACCCTTGTTATTCTGCTTGATTCCTGTTGTTAAGACCTTTCCTTCCTCATCTCTCCTTCCCAACCCTGTTCAGTTATAGCCAAAATTGTGCCATCCATAAAACCTTTGGACCAGTCAATAGTTTCTTTGATCAGAATAACCATCGACTTTTTATCTTCCCTGATCTTCAACACTGAACCTTCCTCCAGTTCTTTTTTTTTTTTTGATAAATGAGTGGTAGTTTTATTAAGAAGGGAAAAAGTGTACAATCAGCTTAAGAGGAGGCACGAGATGTTACCTCCCCTTAGGACTGAGCAAATAAGCACACCCTAACCAGAATTACAATTATAAGGTAGCCCAAAACAATTCACCCATTGATACCCCTTGTTTAGCCAAAGCAAGGTTTAAAATGTCGATGTTGATGGAAATGTCACTTACCAAAATATAGGACATATGTCGGAAATGTCGAGGGGAAATATTGTAAAAATTAGAGACATTGTGGAAATATTATGAAATATGTGGAAATATGCAATGATATTTTGTAAAATGATAAAAGAAGCATTAATACATATTTCTAGACTATTATCTTATTCCCAACCATTATATAAAGCTAAGAAACTAAGATCAATAACAAATTAGTAATCGGCG